AAATAAAATGGCTCCGTCCGTGTTAAAATATATTTTTAAAAATCATAAAAACTAAACAGCCTACAGTATTTTTAGTCTTTAAAGTCTAATGTTACAACTAATCAAGGATCCCTTTCAGGTTCTACGAAGAGCTTTAGCCCCCCCCCCACACACACACACAGACACACACACACTCAGACCGTCTTTTCATACTTTACCCTCTTAGCAAGCGTCTCTTTCTGTTGTTCACTGGTGAGCAGCTGAAGCTGGTGTTTCTCCTCCACAGATGATGGAARCGGTGAGCAGCACGATGACACCGCCTGCTTCAGGGGTCAGAGGTCGGGTCGAGTCATCAGGCCTCTCAGCAGCAGTAAGATCCAAGAGAATATTTAAAATAACCTAAATCCAGCTGCTTAATGAGCCCTCTCCTCCTGCAGCAGCTCCCTCCCTGCAGAACCGTCTGTGGGGAGCTCCTGCTCGGAGGAAGAGGAGCAGCAGCCTGAAGGAGAAGCTCAGCACCAGACCAACAGAGCTGAACCTCCAGGAGCTGATGGCTGAGTCCGTCTACATCAGTCGTCCTCTGGTGCACCGTATCCTCCCTCAGGTTCCTCCTCTACACGCAGCATGTCCTCACAGAGACAGRAGAGTACACCTGCAGTACTCTTCTGGTCCACATGAGGGCGCTGTGCTCCTGATCCATCAGGGTTAAAGTTTGTTGAACACAAAGAAAGTCTAAAACTACATCACAAAATATAACAAAGAATGGAAACCGTTTGGAATCAGCTGATCTGCAGCTCCTCTAAAGACCTGAAACATTAATTCTAAGTGGAGAAGAAGAGACGCTTGTTGACACACTTGAAGCCAAACGGGATGTTGTGATAAAAATGTAAACAAACACAAAACAGAAAAAATAAGACACAATATAAACGTATTTACCTTAAACAGTGATGTCATCCACACAGATACAGGGTCAAAATGAGATTTTCTGTCTGTTAGCAAAAAATCTGATGACCCAATGCACATATTTCAAGAAACCTTTCCTGTAATAATTACTGTATAAACTTAAAGTAGTCCACATTATCCAACATAAAGTCAGTTTTATCTCAGTCTGTTTATAAATACTGACCTAATGTAGGTGTGGTGGTAGCTGAGAGTCAGTCAGAACATACACTCTGAGTGCAGCATCTTTCACCAACATCCTCATTTTTATCATAAGATCATCTCAGGTTAGAAGTCTGAGGTGGAAGGTGATGCATTTAAGGAATGTTAGGTCTTTGTACGTGTTTGCTGTAGTTTTGTAATCATTAAACCTGTCAGGTGTGTGAAATCAAACCCTCCACACACCTGTGAGTCATCACATGGRTCTGATCTGGAGGAAGAGTCAAAGGAGAGAAACCTGAGTCAGTCTGAACCTTTAACAGGATACTTCAACTGAAACTGCTGCAGCTGTCTGAAAACATGACGCGTTCAGTTCCAAACTTCCAACCAAAACTTCCAACAGAGACGTTTCTGAGTAAAGAAACAGGATGAAGGTTTCAGACATTTATGGTTGGTTTTCCTTAAATCAGTTCTTCCTGACTGCAGTTCTCAGTCTGGGTCTCTGTGGGAAACAGTCGTGGAAGCCGTGGCTCATCTCTGCAGTCCTCGAACTGTCCAGGTGAACAAACTCCTCCAGAATATACAGATATCTGCAAACAATGCACCATCCAGCCTCAAACTGACAGGGTACATACCCGCTACAGACAGGGTACGTACCCGCTACAGACAGGGTACGTACCCGCTACAGACAGGTTACGTACCCGCTACAGACGGGGTACGTACCCGCTACAGACGGGGTACGTACCCGCTACAGACGGGGTACGTACCCGCTACTGACGGGGTACGTACCCGCTACTGACGGGGTACGTACCCGCTACCGACCTGACAGGGTACATACCCGCTACAGACGGGGTACGTACCCGCTACCGACGGGGTACGTACCCGCTACCGACCTGACAGGGTACGTACCTGCTACAGACGGGGTACGTACCCGCTACCGACGAGGTACGTACCCGCTACCGACCTGACAGGGTACGTACCCGCTACCGACCTGACAGGGTACGTACCCGCTACCGACCTGACAGGGTACGTACTCGCTACCGACCTGACAGGGTACGTACCCGCTACCGACCTGACAGGGTACGTACCCGCTACAGACGGGGCACGTACCCGCTACAGACGGGGCACGTACCCGCTACCGACGGGGCACGTACCCGCTACCGAGCTACAGACGGGGCACGTACCCGCTACAGACGGGGCACGTACCCGCTACAGAAGGGGCACGTACCCGCTACAGACGGGGTACGTACCCGCTACCGACGGGGCACGTACCCGCTACCGACGGGGTACGTACCCGCTACCGACGGGGCACGTACCCGCTACAGACGGGGCACGTACCTGCTACCGACGGGGTACGTACCCGCTACAGATGGGGTATGTACCCGCTACAGACGGGGCACGTACCCGCTACCGACGGGGCACGTACCCGCTACAGACGGGGCACGTACCTGCTACCGACGGGGTACGTACCTGTTACTGACGGGGTACGTACCCGTTACAGACGGGGCACGTACCCGCTACCGACGGGGTACGTACCTGTTACTGACGGGGTACAGAATAAAAACTAAAGATTTCTCTGGTTGTTTTCAGCTTCGTGGTTCTGAGCGACGCCAAGTTTCAGAACCGATGGGAGAGGGCTGAGATGAGGAGGAGGGGCTTCCTGTTGTTGTACTACCTGCTGCGCTCACCTTTCTACGACAAATACTCTGAGTAAGTCTGAGCTGAAACCTGATCAAACATGTTTTATCAGGCGATACGACCTGAGGAAACAAACACACTGAAGGACCTCAGCAGGTCAGTTTGAACAGATTTGTTCAATGAAATCATTTTAAATCTCTGATGATCATTTTGGTTATTTTAGTTTGATATTAACCTGTTTTATGACAGGAAAGAGAAAAGTCTGCACAGGGACAAATATTAACRGCAGAAAGTCTGTATTTGTATACAACATTTAATAAACTGCTGGTTTGTTTGACAAAACAACAAAGATTTTAAGTTTATTCTTCCTGCTGATGTTAGAAGATTTTGGTCCATCTGACTCAGAACCAGAACCAAACATGTGGACTTGTCTAAACCTTTCAGGGAGAAGATCCTGTTCCTGCTCAAACTGCTGGCTGATCACATTCCAGGAGTCGGACTCGTGGCTCGTAAGTTCTGCAGTCTGTTGGTACCACTGGTGTCTGTTAGCAAAATATCTCATGAAGAACTGGACAAAATGTGATGAAACTTCCACAGGATGGATAGATTCATTCTAAGGTTGATTGGCGGTGGCGGCTGTTGTAGGCTGTGTAGACGTCAGTTTGATTGTCTGATGAGATATTTTGCTAACAGACAGACCAGGTGAGAAACAGAATAAAGCTGCAGGTGTGGATGTTTGGTTTGTGCAGGTCCTCTGATGGACTACCTCCCTGCCTGGCAGAAGATCTACTTCTAYAACTGGGGCTAAAGCTGCAGGACGGACCGGAACCGTTTGGATCCAGAGCTGCAGATGATTCTTCTGTCCTCAGAAATGTAGTAAAGCAGCAGGAACAGAGGAGCCTCATGTTTCCTCCTCAGCAGGATTAATTTCTCTCTAATCATCAGGATCAGAGCTCTGACTGACTGTCAGGGTTCTGCTCGGGTTCTGTCACATCTGACTCTTTAAGGTGGATCCTGACTGAGCTGAGCTCTGACGCCTGCAGTCTGGGACTGAATGTGGAACAGATTTTCTGTTGCAGCCTGACTGAATTTAAAGTTTGTGACCAACGAGACGAGTTCTGAAGTTTTTAATCACCACTGATTTGTGTGCACATATATTTCCTGCTCCCCCCACACTCATGATGTCATGTCCTGGAGCAGGGGAGGATGGGTGGTCTATGAGAGACCGGCCCAGTTTCAGTCACTTAGACCTGAACATGACTTAGTTTCAAATTCTCTTCAAAATAATTCAAATTTACAAAACAATCRTTAGTTTGAGACAAACGGTTCCTTCCAGTGAAGCTGGAGAAAACCCACACATGCACAGGGAGAACATGTAAACACCAGGCAGAAAGATCCCAGGCTGGGATTTGAACCGGCAACCTTCTTGCTGAGAGCTAACAGTGTAGAAGCCMACACTTTCCCCTGATGAGATCAAAACAGCTAAAGTTTCACAATAAAAGCCCGGTTGTTTTGTTTTTAATTGTTATTTAGAGGGACTAGATTTTTAAATTTAAAACATTTTTTAGTTTTTTTTTAGTTTTTCAAAATCAAAGTTTTTATATTTATAAAGGTCCCACACTTCATGAATAGTTTGATGAAATTAAAAATAAAGCAGAAACTTTGGACTCGAGGATAAAAAGTATTTGTTGCACAGTTTTTTTAATGTTTTGTAAACTCAAGAGAAAACTGAGCTGTCCCCTGTAGTCCTCTGACTGGACCGGGTCCTTCAGAGTCCACAGAACCAGRGTTTTACTGGTCTTCTCTGAGTCATGATCATGTAAATATCCCACTGCTCTGAACATCAAACTGGTTTTCATAACCCTGCAGATCTAATCCAGGGGTCTGCAACCTTTATCAGAACAGCCCTTTCTGCTCCTTGTCTAATAAAATGTGTCCAGAGCTGAAAAACAAGCTACAACTGCGTTTATCAACTGGTGGTCCGTGGGCCTTTTCAGGACCCTTTACGGCCAGTGGAGGTGACATAAAACTAAAAAAATATATTGTGAATTTTATTATTTACTAATATTTTTACACATCAGGACAAATAGAAAGACCATATTCATGTAAACAAGAAAAATACTGTAAATAGTTTATAA